TTCTCGGTTTTCAATATGTTAGTGGAATTGCAGAAGTTCCTTGAGAACAGACAAGAGATATTGTGACAACTATGCCCTATGGGAGAAGCCCCGTCACTATTTCTTTCCAACAGAGACAATTGCACCCGTATAACAGGAAGGCAATTAAAGCTGAGAATCTGCCTCAGGGAAAATTAATGAGGAATGTTGGTCTGCTCTGATACAGCAGGCTCTGATTTATTTTCACTGAATTTGTCTGTCCTGCCTCCACAGCTTTGCTCTGGGAAGCAGACAATTCCCCCAGGATCAGCTGCTGTGAATTTGTATGAGATCTGCCTTGAAGGCTTGAGTGGATTGGGCTAAACACAATTTGTCTGCATTTTCCTCAGGGGAAAGCCAGTGCTCTGGTTTGCAAGGTGGCCTGCTGAGAAAAGGAAGTGGCCCGAGCAGGAAAGAATCAGAAGAATTTAGGGAAAAATATCTATCCACAGCTGAATCCCTTTTTGGACCATCACCTAAGGTAAAGTGTAACCTATAAATTTCATAAAGGAGTCGTTTATTATTACATTTCTATACTGCCCATAGCCAACACTTTCTGGGTGGTGAACAATATTTAAGTCCCCCATCCAGATTTCAACCAGACCTGTTTCGGCTTAGCTTCACAAGATTAGGCAGGATCAGGCACTTCAGGCTATACAGAAGCTATAGCCTTTCCTTATTTAATTTCCTTTCAAATTTATGCTTTTGAACAGATGCAAGGGGAAGAGAAAATGCATCTCCCCATCTTCTGAAGGACACCTGCCTAGCTTACCAAGAACTCTATGATGCAAGTGTTAGGCACCCTAGAATCTTAAAGCTATTACTCCCAGTTTCCTGTGGGAGAGAAAGTGCGAGGGCTGGACATCGTAAATCAGTATGGAAAGGAGCTAAACTCTTCCGCTTCCATGAAAAGAGGCTCAAAACCATGGAGAGTTCCTGAAAGGTCCAGAGTGACTACGCTGCTCCACTGATCTGGGAAGAACCTCCTCCACCGGCCCTTGTGTCATTTCAATAGGAAGGGTAATGACTCATTTAGGACCCGCCCGGATGGGTTTCCCTTTGACCGCAGCCCTACTATGTTAGCCCTTTTCAAGCGTTCTGCCCTCAAGTCCCATTGTATGAGGAGGAACATGGGAAGGCCCCCGTTGACCCTCGCCTTCATGGGCCCATGTGGATTTGCTGGTTTTTGGCTTTTCTCCATTCGTCAGTCTTTTCCCCATTTCCATTTCTCTTGGACTTTAAGAATTTCTCCAGTCTTTGTTTCAGTTCATTCCCTACCTTTAGAATATCTTTAAAACTTTGCATAACATTATAAGCACTTTACACACATGTCTAATACATGTATTTTTGTATGCATCTTGCTTAATATACCTATTTTTTCCAAGTAACTGCCCTAATATAATGCATTTTAAACGGCTATTTCACCCACTATTTGAATTCAGGTGCACATTCCTTTGATCAGAGAAACCACTGCAAACTTTGCAGAATCATAAACTCAAATAGAAAACTGAGATTCGGTCCACAATGTAGTTTGGGAAAGTGCAAAATTGAGAAAATGCAAAATTAATTGATATTAATATGTGCAGTTAATGATTCCATTCACATCGGGGATGGGCAACATAATGTTCGATATCACTGAGGCTCACCAAATTCTTCCTCAGCACATGGTTTGCCTTGTTCACTCTCCCAAATGCTGGCATCATTTTTTCTGATCAGAAAGACATTCTGAATGTATTCTGTCCCATGTTCTGAGATTTCATCAATGCACAAGCAATGGCATTGAATTGTAATTTCCCCTAAAATAGGCACTTTTGCACGATTTTTTGCCTGCAATTTTAAAATGCTATCCCAGAGCCAGGGACAGACCCATGGATTGCTGTGTGGTCCAAGCCACCTGTTAGTCTGGGAAGCGAAAAGTGAGATGGGTTGGGCTAAAAGAAGAATGGAACCAGCCCTGTTGAAAGTCTGGGCTGAGAGCTACTTCCAGGGCAAAGGGGAAGAAATGCCAGCTCCTGGGTATCCTCAAGGGGGAGGTGTTGTCCTGCATGGTGAGCTGCCATCTTTGTTTCCTGAACGTCTTTGAGACCCGTTTGCAGCCCAGAGGCCCCGGGAAAGGAAGGGGGACAGAGGCTGCCCGCAACTGGGGGGGCCACAGAAGGTGTCAATGTCCAGAAAGAGGCAGACTCGGGGGGGGGGTGTAGGGGGCATCTTGCCAAAGAGCCCTCAAGCACCTGGAGCTAACATTGCTTTCTTTTCTAGCCATTCACAACAGCTATATCCCAAAGGAATTCTGGGAATGCAGAGCAAATGACTAAGCAGCCAGAATTTGGTCCCCAAAAGCATCTCGGGTATTGTTCAATTTTCCATTCAACTTCTGCTAGATTCTATATAAGATTTAAAATGCAGACAACCAATTAGTACTGGCTTTGGTTTAGACTTTTTCCCATCCCACATTCCTACCTCACTGAAGTTAAGAAGTTGAACTCCATGGCCAGGTGGAGTCCTGATGGCTTTTTAGATGTAGGGCAAAGTCAAATAGGGCTTTTCTGTGACAAGTATAGATACTGGGGCAGAGGATGGGTGCATAAGAAAGAGATAAAGACAAGGCGATGCAGACTTTTAAAAAAGTAAAAATGAAAAAATAAATTAAAAAACCCAAACACCCAGCCACAAAAGCTATTTCCATAAGCAGTACAAGAGGGCAGCTAAAGGGCTTCATCAAATCTGCCCACTCCTGGCTGGCTGAAAATGAGGATGTTTTCCACGCTACCAGCACAGCAGCTCAACACGCCAATAAAAATAATTGCTTCCCACCCCACATCCCGCCAAACTGCAACATTCACAAAGAAACCTGTGGCTGACCTTACCATTCATTACTGATCAAAATTTAGACCAGGCTGTGGTGAAGCTGAACACACACATGCACCCCCCCCCCCACTAAAGCACATGTGAGGGAAGAGGGAGATAATTGGACAATCATCTTTGGCAGTCTGTAATTTTGGTGCACACCTCAAGATGCTATTCCCATAGTGCCACCAGCGCATGTGGTATTTTGCATGGTAGGAAAGGAAAGGAAAGGAAAAAGGAAAGGAAAGGAAAGGAAAGGAAAGGAAAGGAAAGGAAAGGAATCACTTTCTCCCAAGAAGCTTATACCGACCAGAATTCTTATACCAGCAGGGCATGATCTGCAGGTCAGGGTATCATGTGCATGCACATTCTGGCAAATCTCAGGGGCACACAGGAAAGGCCAACTGTTTTGTGGGGGCTCACAGCTCAGAATCTGAGGAAGAGAGGATGGGCTGAAAGAGACCCAGCTGCAGCCCCAGGCCCTGGACCCGCCTGCGTCTGCAACGGGAGAGGTTAGTTCAAGGGCAACCGCGGGATGAGGAAGAGCTACAACCTCGGGCGCGGGGGGGGGGGGGGGGATTCAGAGATGGGGAGTCTAGCGGCTGGGGAATTCCAGCCTCCAAGGAGGTGGGCTGCAAGTCTGTCGTCATGGTCATAGGGTGGCCCAGTGGGAGGCCTCCAAGGGAGCAGCGCAGGTTCCACCGTGTCCCTCCCTCCAGGGACAGGCACAGGAAGATCCATGAGGGAAGCGCTGGGCAGAGAAGGCCAGAGAGGGTTCAACGTTTTGCGCTGTGTGTGCATAGAGACCTGTGCGCAAACCAAAGAGGCACCGGTGAGGCTGTTGCGGGTGGGAGGGAGAAGTATGGCTTTGGACCCAGAGCTGTGGGAGGCCCATGCAAAGCCCTGGCCAGGACTCCCTCGGGCCCCCACGCCTCCCACTGGATTCTCTCCGCTCTTCCCTCAGATATCGTCATAGTCAGCTCCTTCCCCGCGGGTGCTAGTAAAGAGGAAAAAGCTGCTCATGTACATAGATGGACATGCACACGGTGGGCATGTCATGAGTGGAGTCGGCTGGAGCCAGGGGTCAGACTAGATGGCCCGGGAGGACCCTTCTGACTTGCTGTGTCTGTTTCTATATACAGGCAGGCGTGAATCGGTGTGCAGCCCCCAAGCAGAGCACAATTGATGCCCTGGGCTCAGAAGGTTGTGCACGCCAACGGGGGCCCTCTGAGATGCTCCTACTTGGCTTCTCAAGCTTGCAAGGGATGGAGGTCGTCCGCTCCCACCCTCAGGCAGCCTAACAGGGGGACACTGCCATTCATCTGCAAGCCAAAGGGGCATCACAGCCACGTGAGTCTTCCTGTAGCTCAGACTGTGTTGGGAAAGGACACTTCCTTCCCTCCTGTTTCCCCATTTACCTGGCCCAGGTGATCTTAGCCACAGCAGCACCTCAAGCAAAACTGACCTTTTTTTTTTTGTTTTGCGAAATAGAAGGCCATTGTGCTGCATTGCTCCAAATAAGCTTCATTTTTTTAATGAAACTTTTTCATACCAACCCCCACCCCATCCTGCACACACACATACACACATACAACACACCCACACACAACACTAATGGAGAGCACCACACCCAAGAAACAGTTGGAGAATTTCTTCTGCCCCTGGAGAAATTTGATAAAATGTCCCCCACTCCCGATGTCTGAGAAAGAGAGTGGGGGTATAGAGGCACATAGGCATGAATGGACTGTAGCGACTAACACAACTGGATGCTTTTGATTCCATGCACTGTTTTGTTTTAATTTGGGTGTTACCCATCTTTGATGAACCTTTGATGTCCCACAAACTGCACTTTGCATACTCATTCTGTTGTATTCTCATTTTGTTCCTAGGATCATTTTATCCAGGAAGACGTGAATGGGAATTCTGTTATTTATTTATTTATTTGCTCTTGCAGGGATGAAACACAAGCTCAAATACAAAATTACAATTAAAGCATTAAAGGCAACGCATCCATAAAACAACAGTACCCATGCATTAAACTTTGGTTAAGCAAACAAGTTTGCTTAAAAGACAAATGCTTTCTGAATAATCTGAATTATCAGGCAGAGCTGATATGGAATCTGAGAGAGACTTACCTTGTGTTGTCAGAATCAATGGTATGGAAAAGCTTTTCCAGTTCTTCCTCATTAAGAGTTCCATCGGAAAAGAAGGCCTGGAATTCCTCCAAGGACAGCTTCCCATCATCTGTAAGCAATAAAGCAAAAGGGGTTGCAAAAAAATTCAGCACACATGCGAGACCATTAAGGACAAAAACACTGACCACGCAATACGACGAATTTGCTTGCAAGGAAGGGAAAGGCTAGGAACTGGAACCGGAACTGGAACCAGTGGTATAGCTGGGTCATTGTAACTCTGGGGCTGGGTCACAATCTTTGGCCAGCTGAATCGTCCGGAAGGCCTCAGGATTCTTCAGGGGCCCAGAACAAAGGCCAGGGCCCACCCCACTGGCTGCCCCCTCCAGTTTACACCTGGGTGTCAGAGAGGAAAAAGAGGGAAGCCAGGGAGTGCCGATGGGAAGGGGCTGCAGAGGTGAACTTATGCCAGCCCAAATTGGTGTCCCAGCCTCATTCCCTTATGTGGCCAAAAACCCCTGCCTAGAGAAAATACCTGGGCAATTAGCAGGCCAGCCACCGCTGTACCTCGCTCAGGGAAAAGGATGCATGCATCTCTCTGAGCTCGGGGGGGGGGGGGGGTCCGACCCTGGGGCAAGGTGCCTTCCATGCCCCCTCCTCAGGGATCCAAGCACCAGGGCATAGTGGAACCAGGGCCCACAGCGTTGTAGCTTTTTATTAGCAGGACTGATGCAATAATCTGCCAGCCCTCTGCCCCCCAGAATCTGCCGTGCTCTCTGGGAGGGGAGGAATGAATCCCCCCCATGTTGTCCATGTTGCCATACAGTATATTTTGGAGCGGTTTAGTCTTGAATGGTCACCTAATGAGAAGACCCTGATGCTGGGAACAATGGAAGGCAAACGGAGAAGGGGACAGCAGAGGCTGGGGTGGCTGGATGGGGCCACTGGGGTGGTGGGTGTGGGCTTGGGTGGACTCTGGGAATGGTGGAGGCCAGGAGACCCTGGAGGAGGGTTGTCCCTGGGGTCGTAGTGGGTCGGGCACAACGTTGCGACTAAACAAGAAACGGTCTTGCATGGCCAATTAAGACCATTTGGCTTTACAAAAGAACTTGTTCCTCAGGCCGATGAAATTTCTGGGACTGGTTGGATATCTATGGATGGCAGTGGCTGCAACATCGGTGGAACAGTGAATCTGCTAACTAGAAAATTAGGAGTATCCATGGTGATGAACATATTTTGGGAATGCGGTTCAGCTACTTCACAGCAGCTAGACTGCCCAGTGACATCGGCGCCATCGGCCACCTCAGGATTTGACAGACTGGATCAATGCAGCCAGTGATCCTGGCCTCTTCCTGGCCTCTCCAATGGGGACTGCCTGGGTGAGCGCTTGCATTTCAAACTATACCACTGCACATGTGTACACCCCACTCTCGAAAGCATACAGCTAGTGTGTCTCTTGTCCTCTCCTACCGCCAATCTTCATGCACACCCGTGCACGCGTGCATGAACACTACATATCATTCTAGATTTTCCACAAGCTGAAACTGCCATAGCAACATTACTTGTTCATCCTGATCCCCCCACAACAACCCCCCTCTACATGAATTCCCCTCCCCTCCCCATGCACTTTTCTGTTAAAGTATTCAAGATTTTGTTTTTCTCCCAGGCAGGTGTTGTGACCTTCGTCTTAAAAAAATGAAGCATTGATATATATTCTCAAGACAGCAGCACTGAAAAGCATTAACATTGATTGCTTAAAAGCAAGTCTGTAAAATGATGGAGAAAACTTTTAAAAGTCGTTTAGAGGCCACGTTTTTCCATAGAATTAGAAAGAAGTGGTGCAGTTCAAATGCAAAGGAACTTTTAGTAGGGTTTGCTTGAAATTGTTTTGTAAAGCCAGACTAGAAAGTGAGAGGGCAAATTCTATCCTCATTCATAGACTGACTGGAATTGTTGATCACAACGAGGTAGACCAATTATAATTTGTTTAATCAGCTCAAGGTCACATTTCTCATTTGGAACTTGGCTTTGTGCATGAATTATCAGAACTGGAGAGAAAAGATATTCAAGGACTGTGATCCTATGCATACTTAGAAAAAGGGGTGCTGGGAATTGTACCCCTTCCTTCTTTCTAACTAGGCATGGGATCGTGAGCTAAGAAACTTATTCAGAGTCCGTTGAAAGGTCAAGCCAAGATTCTATGCCCTTCATGGACCTTGTTTTGGGCACGGAGTCCCCCCATTTCAGACTGCAGTTGGGGGGGGGAGGAGCCATCCCGTTGGTGGCTCTGGACACCATCCCTCAAAAAGGTCCACCACCACAAAACACCACGGACAGCTCCTATAAAGTTCAACATAACTGCTGCAGTGGAGAAGGTGTCACCAACTGGTGTTGTATTGACAAACCCTCCTGCACAGAGCAAATGGGAAATCAGAGAGAAAAATGTGGCCCTTCCTACTCTGGAGTCTGAAACAGGTCAGGAAACTGCCTGTCCTCAGCTGAAAGCTGCCCTGAAACACTTTGCCCCACTGGCCTTCATGAGCTACTGCACAGTGTCAGGATTCGTGCATTTTCACGTTTACTGGCAACCTCTTTGGCCCTCCATGGCAGAACTGAGCACATTTTTTTCTCCCACTTTTGGCTCCTGAGCAATGGCACACATGCATTCTCCATTTCCTTGCCCCTGAAGTATTCATCCTTGCCCGCAATTTTGCACTGGTCCCATGCTTGGTACGCCATGGTGTAGGGAGTCCCATGGGAGCCGTTTGCAAGGCAACATCAGAAACCTGAGCTAGCACTGGTGATGAAATTCAATTTGCACAAGGAGATTTCCTGTGCTGCTTTGCCCAAGCAAGCCTAGCATCTGACTGAGCAAGCACTATGGAACAAAATGCATATACTCACATCCAAATTGCTATTTCATTGTTCTTGTTTGTCTTTTGTAGTTCTTTGTCAATTCTCCTACTTGCATTGTTGGGAAGATGAACATTGTCTGGGAGAACTGGGGACAAGTGGAAAACTGTGTGGGGTCTAATTTCAGAATTGTTTTGTGAAAGGAAAATTTCTGGGTAAGGAAAATTTGGAGCTGAGGAGATCAGCCCATCCCCAGGATTCACTAACAATAGAAACTTGAGCTGGGGACAAGACTTAAACACCTTTACCGAACAGGTTCAACTTCATCACCAAACATAACTCCACATCTTATTAAAAGTTTGCATTCAGTGCAACACTGACCTTGTGGAAAGCTAATTTAAAACTTGTTCCTTTGAGCTATCTATAATTAAAAGAAAAAAAAAACCACCCCAAGATACAGCAGAATTAAGCTGTGTATTGAAAACGCACAATAGACAAGCAGGACTGTTAAGAAGCAGAGCATTTTGTGAGATAAGACTGGCCAATATCATGCTGGGAACACGGAAGTTATGATGAAAAGACCTGAAATACCCTTTCCTGCTAAAACGACTGGCTGAAGAGCTGTAATATCCTGCTAATCCAAGCAGTACAAGTTAAGATAAGTGATGCTGAATTTGGAAGGCTTTCTGTCCTGGGTGTCTTATCAGGAAGGGCATAAAAAGTAAAATTGAAGAAGCAGAAAGGTATGGATATGCCATGGGCAGGATAAGAACTTAAGCCTGCCTTGACTTAATTTGATCTCCCAAAGTTTTCTGATGAGTGATCCAAAGGGCTGTGCCAGATGCACAAAGACCTTACAGCCCTTTAGGTACACACCTAAAGGGACTGGAGATCCAAATGCATTTTAAAATGTAAAGCCTCACTCTGCTTGAATGGTCAAATAGATGGGCATGAAATGGAGGTAGCGACAGATTTTATTTTCCTGGGCTCCAAGATCACCGCAGAGGGGGGCTGCAGCCAAGAAATTAAAAGACGCTTGTTGCTGGGGAGGAAAGCTATGGCAAATCTAGACAGCGTACTAAACAGCAGAGACATCACTCTGCCGACAAAAGTGTGTACAGTCAAGGCTATGATTTTCCCAGTTGCCCAGTATTCCCAGGTGATCAAACCAGTCAGTCCTAGAGGAGATCAACCCTGACTGCTCTTTAGAAGGCCAGATCCTGAAGATGAAACTCAAATACTTTGGCCACCTAATGAGAAGGAAGGACTCCCTGGAGAAGAACCTGATGCTGGGAACGATTGACGGCAAAAGGAGAAGGGTTTCAACACTTCCAGTGTTGAGTTTGGTTCCTTGGGAACTGTGAGCATTCTGCCCATCTTCAGCACAGTTTGCCTTCAAAGTTATTTATTTATTTGTTTGTTTATTAAAAGCTTTTCTGCCCCCCCCCCCACTAGCATCCCAGGACAGCTTACAATAAAATGGGTAGAATAAAACAAAACACCACAGTATTCAACAATTGCAATACAAAAACCCCAGTTAAAATCAATTAAACATTAAAAGGACAGGAAAATAAAAAGGTTTCCACCTGACGCTGAAAAGAATATAATGTGGGCATCAGGCAGACCTCTCTGGGGAGTGTATTCCCCAGTTGGGCACCACCACAGAGAAGGCCCTTCCCTGAGTAGCCACCGTCCTGATCTCCTTCGAGGAGGGCTCCTGGAGCAGGGCCTCCGCCTCAGATCTCAAGGGGCAGGAGGGCACATCGGGGAGAAGGTGCGCCTTCAGGTATCCCGGACCCAAGCCCTTTAGGGCTTGATAGATCATCACCAGCACCTTAAATTGGGCCCAGCAGCCAGTGTAACCGACAGAGGACTGGCATTATATGTGGATACCTGCCAGTCCCCATTAAGTTGGGGACAAGAAAAACAACACTTGTATGGAAATTCATGAACATTCTTGAGACATTTCTCCCAAATCATGCACACCATTTTCCAAGCTGTTTTATGACTATGATGGATTACAAAGGTTATTTTCCTCAATATATGCATCATGCATGCCTTTTTTAATTGGAGGAGCCCATTCCAAAATTTGGAGATATGCAAATTAGGAAGGATATCTGAGTTTGGGTTTGACACTACAAAATGTTAACTGAAGAAATGGCCCATCCCTCACCCTAACCCATCCCTGCCTTCCATGGGAAATTGCCTCCAGGGTGGCCTTAAAGATCCAGGCCTAGGCAGAGATTTCCAGTTAATTCA